TTGAAAGAGATTGTGATGTCTCACATCTCAAAATAGGGCTACTTAATGTTAGATCCCTCACTTCCAAGGCAGTCATAGTCAATGAACTAATCACTGATCATAACCTTGATGTGATTGGCATGACTGAAACATGGCTCAAGCCTGATGAATTTACTGTGTTAAATGAGGCCTCTCCTCCTGGTTACACTAGTGACCATATCCCCCGCGCATCCCGCAATGGCGTAGGTGTTGCTAATATTTACGACAAAAGACTGCGATTTTGTCTTTTGAGCTTCTAGTCATGAAATCTATGCAGCCTATGTAGTGTTGAGAACGATGCTGAGATGCTGTGATGACAAGAAATCCGCTGACACTGTCCTCGATTATAATAGTTTATTACATCTTTACTTTCAGCGTCAATTTACAGATTTCTGCAGACATCTGGAGAACAACTGGCCCCAATCTCTAATATGTTGTTTCCTCCCCGTCCTTTGTCCCAACCAAGGTATTTATATCCTATGTAACCTGATATGGGTGGTTTCCCCTACAGACCAATCGCAGGACTCCACATAACAGACTTCCTCTGTTTTAGGGTGCCCCTATAGTAATGCTTTCCAGATGCTTCCTCAAGCTGAGTCAACTTCCTCTAACACACCATTTGCAAACATCAGCAATGTCATAAATTGTCTAGATACTACACCTACTCAATCGCTTTTTATAGCTACTCTTTACAGGCCTTCTGGGCCGTATACAATGTTCCTCACTGAGTTCCCTGAATTCCTATCGGACCTTGTAGTCATTGCAGATAATATTCGAATTTTTGGTGACTTTAATATTCACACGGAAAAGACCACAGACCCACTCCAAAAGGCAATGCATACAGTCCAAGTAGCAATGATTAGCTGTTCAGTAGTCTTATGGCTTGGGGGTAGAAGCTGTTAAGAAGCCTTTTGGACCTAGACTTGGCGCTCCGGTACCGCTTGCCTTGCGGTAGCAGAGAGAACATTCTATGACTAGGGTGGCTGGAGTCTTTGACAATTTTTAGGGCCTTCCTCTGGCACTGCCTGGTATAGAGGTCCTGGATGGCAGGAAGCTTGGCCCCAGTGATGTACTGGGCCGTACGCACTACCCTCTGTAGTGCCTTGCGGTCGGAGGCCGAGCAGTTGCCATACCAGGCAGTGATGCAACCAATCAGGATGCTCTCGATGGTGCAGCTGTATAACTTTTTGAGGATCTGAGGACCCATGCCAAATAATCTGCTCAGACCCCAACCAAGGATCATCAAAAGCTGTGCTATAAATTCTCGGACAACCCAAGAATTCCTAGATGCCCTTCCAGACTCCCTGCACCTACCCAAGGATGTCAGAGTACAAAAATAGGTTAACCACCTAACTGAGGATCTAAATGTAACCTTGCGTAATACCCTAGCTGCAGTCGCACCCCTAAAAACATTGCGCTTCGCCAAACTGGAAGACTTCCGATTAGCTTGGAAAGACAGTACCGTGCAATATCTAAGAGCCCTCACTGCTGCTTGATCATCCTATTTTCCAACCTAATTGAGGAGAATAAGAACAATCCTAAATGTATTTTTGATACTGTCGCAAAGCTAACTAAAAAGCAGCATTCTCCAAGAGAGGATGGCTTTCACTTCAGCAGTGATGAATTCATTAACTTCTTCGATGAAAAGATCATGATAATTGGAAAGCAAATTAGGGACTCCTCTTGTAATCTGCGTATTTCTCCAAAACTCAGTTGTCCTGAGTCTGCACAGAACTGACAGGACCTAGGATCAATGGAGACAGTCAAATTTTTTAATCATGTATCTCTTGACACATTCATGAAAATAGTCATGGCCTCTAAACCTTCAAGCTGCATACTGGACCCTATTCCAACTAAACTACTGAAAGAGCTACTTCCTGTGCTTGGCCCTCCAATGTTGAACATAATAAATGGCTCCCTATCCACTGGATGTGTACCAAACTCACTAAAAGTGGCAGTAATAAAGCCTCTCTTGAAAAAGCCAAACCTTGACCCCGAAAATGTAAAAAATTATCTGCCTATATCGAATCTCTCATTCTTCTCAATTTTTTGGGAAAAAGCTGTAATAATGTATACGAAACGCTTCAGTCTGGTTTTAGACCCCATCATAGCACTGAGACTGCAATCGTGAAGGTGGTAAATTAACTTTTAATGGTGTCAGACCAAGGCTCCGCATCTGTGCTCCTGCTCCTAGACCTTAGTGCTGCTTTTGACACCATCGATCACCACATTATTTTGGAGAGATTGGAAACCCTAATTGGTCTACATGGACAAGGTCTTGCCTGGTTTAGGTCTTATCTGTGGGAAAGATATCAGTTTGTCTCTGTGGATGGTAAGTTTCGGCGTTCCTCAAGGTTCCATTTTAGGACCACTATTGTTTTCACTATATATTCTACCTCTTGGTGATGTCATTTGGAAACACAATGTCAACTTTCACTGCTATGCAGATGACACACAGCTGTACATTTCGATGAAACATGGTGAAGCCCCAAAATTGCCTACCCTGGAAGCCTGTGTTTCAGACATAAGGAAGTGGATGGCAGCAAATGTTTTACTTTTAAACTCGGATAAAACAGAGATGCTAGTTCTAGGTTCCAAGAAACAAAGAGATCTGCTGTTGGATCTGACAATTAATCTTGATGGTTGAACAGTCGTCTCAAATAAAACTGTTAAAGACATCAGCGTTACTCTGGACCCTAATCTCTCTTTTGACGAACATATCAAGAATATTTCAAGGACCGCTTTTTTCCGTCTTCATAACATTGCAAAATTCTGAAACTTTTTGTCCAAAAATGATGCAGAAAAGCTATTCCATGCGTTTGACACTTCTAGATTAGACTACTGCAATGCTCTACTCTCCGGCTACCCGGATTGAGCACTAAATAAACTTCAGTTAGTGCTGAACACGGCTGCTAGAATCTTGACTAGAACCAAAACATTTGATCATATTACTCCAGTGCTTCCTATTAAGGCTAGGTCTGATTTCAAGATTTTACTGCTAACCTACAAAGCATTACATGGGCTTGCTCCTACCTACACGTACGCTATGGTCACAAGACGCAGGCCTCCTTATTGTCCCTAGAATTTCTAAGCAAACAGCTGGAGGCAGGGCTTTCTCCTATAGAGCTCCATTTTTGTGGAATGATCTGCCTATCCATGTGAGAGGCGCAGACTCGGTCTCGACCTTTAAGTCTTTACTAAAGACTCATCTCTCCAGTAGGTCCTATGATTGAGTGAGGTCTGGCCCAGGGGTGCGAAGGTGAACGGCAAGGCACTGGAGCGACGAACCACCCTTGCTGTCTCAGTCTGGCCGGCTCCCCTCTCTCCACTGGAATTCTCTGTCTCTGACCCTATTACGGGGGCTGAGTCACTGGCTTACTAGTGCTCTTCCATGCCGTCCCTAGGAGGGGTGCGTCACTTGAGTGGGTTGAGTCACATACGTGATCTTCCTGTCCGGTTTTGCGCCCCCTCAGGCTTGTGCGGTGGAGGAGATCTTCGTGGACTATACTCAGCCTTGTCTCATCGTAGTAAGATGGTGGTCTGTTGATATCCCTCTGGTGGTGTGGGGGCTGTGCTTTGGCAAAGTGGGTGGGGTTATATCCTGCCTGGCTGGCCCTGTCCGGGGGTATCATTGGACGGAGCCATAGTGCACCTGCTGTCTCGACCTCTGAATGACCCTGCTGGTCATCTATGAACGTATGAATATCTTGAAGAACAATCTGGCCTTAATGGCCATGTAGTATCTCCACTCGGCACAGCCAGAAGAGGACTGGCCACCCCTCAGAGCCTGGTTCCTCTCTAGGTTTCTTCCTAGGTTCCTGCCTTTCTAGGGAGTTTTTCCTAGCCACGGTGCTTCTACATCTGCATTACTTGCTGTTTGATGTTTTTGGCTGGGTTTCTGTATAGACACTTTGTGACTTCTGCTTATGTAAAAAGGGCTTTATAAATAAATGTCAGTGATTTATTTATTTAAATGAAGTGCCCTTTAATATAGACCACATGGAAAATTCAATAAATACATTTTTGATATGAATAAAGACTTGCTAATGTGCAAAAATTCTGCATTTTGACATGTCCCTTTGTGCATCCTCTGTGACTTCTAGAAAGATTTTAACCCACTTAACCACAACATTTATCCAAGTTCTCACCATAATTGTTAAGCTGTAGTTATTTTGTTGCTTTGACAAAGTATTTTCAGAAGATAATTATTTATTTCATGTGACTAGTGATTCATTTTAAGGTTTAAAAAAACCTGTCACCCATTTTAAGGTCAACCCTGTTGCATGAACTGAACTCTCATTTTAAATACTTTTTTCTAAAGAAACATTGAACATCTAATAGTGAAATCATAGTGTAAAAGCTGGTGAGCTGGTTCTACTCTTTTTGGCCATTTTCTGGTGTTTTGTGGTGGAAAACTGAGCTGGTCGAGCATAACACATCAACCCTGTTACCCTTAGATAGACAGGATATAAAAAAAAAAAAATTGTTGTGAAACTTGCATTCAATTTCCCCTACCTGTTGCACTCAACAAGCTTCCATTCCCCCTGTCACAAGGGGATTTATGGATGATTTCAGATGAAATCGTCAACCCTGTTACCTTGTTTGGCACTTAATAGGCACTGACTATAGTCGGGGGTTTTTTACCTCTTGAGATGGGAAAACATGTTTTTACTAAGTTGAACTCTTTATGACAATGTTAAAATTAGATGAAATAAAACATAGTTTTTTTCACCAAGTTACACTACTCAAAAGGCACCAAATTGGTGGAACGACCCTGCTATATTCTTCAACAATCAATGGGTAGGCCTATGTATATTTAATTTAAAAGTCCAACAAATGTATGTATAAATTGCAGATTGGCCCTTTAATTAGCTAAATGATTAAAGTAAGGGTTCAGCTTAATACAGAACTGTATACTTTTCTGTTTGTGTCCCCTGGTTCCTATAGAACTCAGTGGTCCAATCCACTCTCCCATACTGTCTCAGTGGCTGGTGGATAGGGAGGGAGTGATGAGGACAGACTGGCCCCCTGGCTGCAGGGCTGTACTCAGTGCTGTCCCAGGTGGTTCTGGTCCGAGGTTGTCTGGACTCCTGTAAGGAATGCTCAGGGCCTCAGAATGACCTGTGTCTGGAGTGCAGAACAGGCTGGACGCTCCATGACAACACATGTGTAGGTAAGTGGGACAGTGTGTGTGTGTGTGTGTGGAGAGAGAGAGAGAATGTGTGTGTGTGTGTGTGTGTGTGTGTGTCTCAGATAAATGAAGAGATGCATCAACATCTAATATCTTTCTAAATGTTGGTGTATGCGTTTATAATGTATAATGCTTCAATTTATAATCATACTGTGCTGTACTTTATACAAAACCTGTTCTGTTGCTATAATACCTGTTGCTGTTGTGTTCCAGACATAGATGAGTGTGGCACAGAGCTGGGCCATTGTCCCCCCAACACCTACTGCTTCAACACAGAGGGCAACTATCAGTGCAGAGGTCAGTGCTGCTACCAGGGTTTAGAGGTCAGGAGCTCACTTCCTCCTCTTCAAGAGCCAATCAGAAGTATGGGGTGAATCCTAACTTCCACTTAAGTCAACTTTTTGTTTCCCAATGACATAATAAAGTTAAAAGTGAACTGAAAGTTTGCCCCTAAGACTTTCAAGAGCTTCATTGTATAGATGAGAGGTGTCTTAAATAGCACAGAGATCCTATTCAATTTAACATTTTATAATTCTATGTTCAATAAAATGTCATTCAGAATCCTTAAGATTTCTCCAGTTTGCTGTGTTCAATTAGATTAGGAACTCTGAAGCAGAATCTCCTCTACCATTAGTGTGAACTGTGAGCTGTGTATGGGTGTTATGTGTTGATGAAGATGTTTTGTGGTCTTCCGCCTGGCTGTGACCAGGCCTGTGTAAGCTGTTTGGGCGCTGGGCCAGCTCGCTGCAGGAAGTGTGCTACTGGCTACAGACTAACCGGAGCCAAGTGTTTAGGTAAGTGGCGTAGTTTGTAGGAGAATATGTATAAGGATGAGTTTTTCTCTCTTTCTCACAAAGAGATGAATGCAGTGAGTTTGTGTGTGTGTGTGTGTGCGTGTGTGTGTGTGTGTGTGTGTGGAGGGGGGGGGGGGTCTGTTAGTCAGTCTGTCTGTCTGTCTCTCTGTCTGTTTGTTTGTAGGTCTGTCTGTCTGTCTGTCTGAATCTTAGTCCATAAGTATCCATCTCTCTCTCCCTCAGATATAGATGAGTGCAGTGAGCGGGTTCTGGCGTGTCCAGGGCTGGATGAGATCTCTACCAATTTGGACGGTTCTTTCCACTGTGACTGTGCTGAAGGCTTCACACGCAAAAACAACGTCTGTGTGCAGAAACAGCTACCCAGAGGTAAGTGTTCTAACCACACATGCTCACACCACGCACTGACACATGCATGCACAAACATACATTCTACACCGAAGAGAAGCCGCTTCGAACACCCAAAACTCTCCGGTTTTCCCCCGAGCCCCCCCTCCACCCCACCCCACCCCACAACCCCACCTCCATGCCCACCAACCACCACCCCCACCCAGCCACCATCCCCACCCAGCAGAGATTCAAAAAATATATATTGTGAAGAATGGAGTGGGTACAGTGCCTTCAGAAAGTATTCACAACCCTTGACTTTTTCCAAATGTTGTTGTGTTACAAAGTGAGATTAAAATAGATTTTTGTCAACGATCTACATAAAATACTCTGTAACATCAAAGTGTAAGAAACATTCTAACATTTGTAAAATATATATATATCATATCTTCATTAGATAAGACACCCCTGAGTCAATACTTTGTAGAAGCACCTTTGGCAGCTGTGAGTATTTATGGGTAAGTCTCTAAAGCCGGGTGTACACGACTTTCAAAATCCTAACATCGCTAAACCTCTCACATTAAACAACCATCTTTCCTGTAGTTTGCTTTGTCTTGCCAACGTAGTGGTGCGCACATTAAACAATGTGGCACCGACGGGGGTCACACACTACAAGATTCTTCACTTGGTCTTCAGGATTGTCGATACCACACTGTCTCGCGAAAACAATGATGTGATTAGATTTAACGTACTGTAGCTACAACGAGCTGTGGCTCAAAGCAGCCTCAAACATTTTCAGTCAGATATTCACGCTTGCCATACATAAATGAAATATCTAGCCAACATTTAGAATTGAATAATATTGCTTGTGAACTTCAGAGCTGTAACGATTTGACGCTTTTGGCTTTGATTAAAGGCAAGTACAAACGCATACTAGTAGTAGTCATCGCTCCTTTTCAAGAGTCTACACATCTCACTGTCTTCTTCTCTGGTGAGATCTCATTGGTTATTGCTCATCACCGTTCTCAAAACTTGTTGTTGCACATCTCACACTAAAAGAGCATTGCAGACTTTGTGCTAATAAAATCAAACATGTTTGAAAATATCGGGACGTCTGGGACTGCTCATGGACGAGATTGGTAGCCCTCAGATTGCATCTCTGACCCGCTCACATTAAACGAGCGACAGTGACGGCTGCGCGCTCCGGATTGTGCAACATTTGCCCATTATTATTTTAAACATTTTTCAAGCTTTGTCAAATTGCAACACCTGGATTGTGCAACATTTGCCCATGATTATTTTCAACATTTTTCAAGCTTTGTTGAATTGGTTGTTGATCATTGGTAGACAACCATTTTCAGGTCTTGAAATAGATTTTCTACAAGATTTAAGTCAAAACTGTAACCCTGCCACACAGGAACATTCACTGTCTTCTTGGTGTTTTAGGTTATTGTCCTGCTGAAAGGTGAATTCATCTCCCAGTGTCTGGTGGAAAGCAGACTAAACCAGTTTTCCTCTAGGATTTTTCCTGTGCTTAGCTCCATTCCGTTTCTTTTTTATCCTGGAAAACTCCCCAGTCATTAAACCCCCTAAGGTTGATGTCTGTGTCCCCATGGAAATCTAATTAGCATAATAAAAAAATACCCATACAAATCTGTCAGTTTAAGCTAGAGATATATTTGCATTGGATGTGTCTCAATCCACCGCATCCTCATATGTCGCACTTCCTCATCTACGGTGAAAGGTGACAGAGCTAGAGGGGTGTTTGTCAAACCATGAGACATCGCTAAAATCGGTCTTCTCACAAAATCGTTTGTAGCGCCGAAGGGTAGTTACTCCACAATCGTCTGTAGTTACTCAGCAATACTAACCTAATTCACAGAGTGAAAAGAAGGAAGCCTGTACAGAATACAAATATTCCAAAACATGCATGCTGTTTGCAACAAGGCACTGCAAAAAATATACTGTCAAATCCTCCCAAGTTTCTAGTTTGAGCAGCTGTTATAAGCAACTGATATTTTTGAATGCGGTTGTCATATTGGCATGTTTGCTAGCAACAAACGATTTAGATACAGTGAGGGAAAAAAGTATTTGATCCCCTGCTAATTTTGTAAGTTTGCCCACTGACAAAGAAATTATCAGTCTATAATTTTAATGGTAGGTTTATTTGAACAGTGAGAGACAGAATAACAACAAAAAAATCCAGAAAAACGCATGTCAAAAATGTTATAAATTGATTTGCATTTTAATGAGGGAAATAAGTATTTGACCCCCTCTCAATCAGAAAGATTTATGGCTCCCAGGTGTCTTTTATACAGGTAACGATTTGCGATCAGGAGCACACTCTTAAAGGGAGTGCTCCTAATCTCAGCTTGTTACATGTATGAAATACACCTGTCCACAGAAGCAATCAATCAATCAGATTCCAAACTCTCCACCATGGCCAAGACCAAAAAGCTCTCCAAGGATGTCAGGGACAAGATTGTAGACCTACACAAGGCTTGAATGGGCTACAAAACCATCGCCAAGCAGCTTGGTGAGAAGGTGACAACAGTTGGTGCGATTATTCGCAAATGGAAGAAACACAAAATAACTGTCAATCTCCCTCGGCCTGGGGCTCCATGCAAGATCTCACCTTGTGGAGTTGCGATGATCATGAGAACGGTGAGGAATCAGCCCAGAACTACACGGGAGGATCTTGTCAATGATCTCAAGGCAGCTGGGACCATAGTCACCAAGAAAACAATTGGTAACACACTACGCCGTGAAGGACTGAAATCCTGCAGCGCCCGCAAGGTCCCCCTGCTCAAGAAAGCACATATACATGCCCGTCTGAAGTTTGCCAATGAACGTCTGAATGATTCAATGATTCAGAACTGGGTGAAAGTGTTGTGGTCAGATGAGACCAAAATGGAGCTCTTTCGCATCAACTCAACTCGCCGTGTTTGGAGGAGGAGGAATGCTGCCTATGACCCCAAGAACACCATCCCCACCATCAAACATGGAGGTGGAAACATTATGCTTTGGGGGTGTTTTTCTGCTAAGGGGACAGGACAACTTCACCGCATCAAAGGGATGATGGACCATCAAATCTTGGGTGAGAACTTCCTTCCCTCAGCCAGGGCATTGAAAATGGGTCGTGGATGGGTATTCCAGCATGACAATGACCCAAAACACACAGCCAAGGCAACAAAGGAGTGGCTCAAGAAGAAGCACATTAAGGTCCTGGAGTGGCCTAGCCAGTCTCCAGACCTTAATCCCATAGAAAATCTGTGGAGGGAGCTGAAGGTTTGAGTTGCCAAACGTCAGCCTCGAAACCTTAATGACGGAGAAGATCTGCAAAGAGGAGTGGGACAAAATCCCTCCTGAGATGTGTGCAAACCTGGTGGCCAACTACAAGAAACGTCTCACCTCTGTGATTGCCAACAAGGGTTTTGCCACCAAGTACTAAGTCATGTTTTGCAGAGGGGTCAAATACTTATTTCCCTCATTAAAATGCAAATCAATTTATAGCATTTTTGACATGCGTTTTTCTGGATTTTTTTGTTGTTATTCTGTCTCTCACTGTTCAAATAAACCTACCATTAAAAGTATAGACTGATCATTTCTTTGTCAGTGGGCAAACGTACAAAATCAGCAGGGGATCAAATACTTTTTTCCCTCATTGTAGCTTCTAGCCCAGTGTTTGATATGCAATGCGATCTCCTCATAATTAACAGTTGACGAGTGTCCTGACGAGAAGGCAAACTTTTAAAGCTATGCCAGGCAAAATCGGGCATTATCAGCTCATATTGTTATGGATGTATTCGAATGAATTTCAATAGAAAACAGCTACTTTGCTGTTTTTCTGTCTGCAGAGGTCGTGACTGTGTTAGCTGTAGCTAGCTGGCTAGCTAGCAAGCAAGGGATAAGTACGTTGCCAGAGTGCATGGCAACGGAACATAAAGAACGAACGACTGGGTCGAGTCTCTATCAACCAAAAGATGAGAAAGTATTAATTATCTTACATAAATGAATATATCAACAAAAAATGTAATTTCTACCAGTAAATGTGTGCTTATAGTATTGTTTTCTTTGGCAGCTGTGGTATAAGTGGGATAAACAGCTTAAACAACTGCAATGGAATAAACTTCACTGTTATTCTGGCAGCAGAGGTCATATGACTGTGTAGCCGTAGCTAATTGGCTAGCTAGCCAGCGAAAAAATAGTATTTATGCTTTCATATTTTCTTTATTTTTTGTATTATTCTAATTCGATTTCCACATCGACTCTAGGGGGTTAAAGATTAATATTATTGCTAAGAGTATTATTATATTGTTGATTGATTGACTGTCTTTCCAAATCTCCCAACAGTAGTATTTGTAGGGTTAATTTTAAGTGAATGTTGTGATTTTTCAGCCATTCCTGAAACAAGCTACCTGGGGGCAATACCAGACTAAATGGTCTAATGATTCTTTCTCTTCACAGCAAAATCTGCAGAGCTGAGACGGTTGTATGCCCCATATATTTAACATTTTGTTGGTAGCAAGAATGTTATACAGTAATTTAAATGGAAAAAGTGTTGAATCTTGCGTCGTTTTGTATATCAGCTCATACACCTTGTACCAGTGAATGGGTACATCAAACGTTTCTTCCCAGCTATTTTTGCAACCTGTATGGCACAGCTGTCAACATTTTGGTCCTCAAATGAAACTGGCATATTTTTCTATTTATGCAAATGTTTTTTTTTGCCAGTTTTGGTCCTTAATATAGGGCAGATAGACCAGTTTCCTACTTCCTCCCTCTTCCACTTACCTCCTCCCTTTCTGCGGTAGTGCTTCAATCAATTGGTTGTAACTTTGGATTGAGCAACCCTTCCCATATATTTCCATTAGCTGCAGGTGTGACATAATTCTACCATTCCTATTTATAATATCATAAATATAATACCCTTTTTAATCATTTTATGCATAAAGAGAGGTTTTATCAATCAGTATATTTGAGTTTAACCATAATATCTGTTGTAATGTACTTTGAACAAGGTTTAATTTTCTGAAAATGAGAAGTAGCAATCTGTATAAAGGCAAAAAGGCCATTTTTGAACAAGGGATAAGCCTTTCTTATGAATCTACTGGAGAACAAGTTCAGGTTTAAGTTAAGCTTTTGTATGAGTGAGGCTTTTAGTGAGAGGTTTAATGCTTTAATATTTAATCATTTCAGCCCCCCAAACTGATATTCATTATATAAATAGGCATGTTTCATCTTGTCTGTCTTAGCATTCCAGATAAAGCGAAATACGTTTTGCTCATATGATTTGAAAAACAAATCATCTGGAGTAGGCAACGCCATAAGTAAGTAAGTAAACTGTGATATGAGTTTATCAGTGTAATTTTTCCATAAATAGAAAACAGTGGAGGCTGCTGAGGGGAGGACGACTCATAATAATGGCTGGAACAGAGCAAATGGAATGGCATCGAACACATGGAAACCATGTATTTAATGTATTTGATACCATTCCACTCATTTCGCTCCAACCATTACCACGAGCCCATCCACCCCAATTAAGGTACCACCAACCTCCTGTGATAGAAAAGTATTTACCTCTCCGTGGTTGCAGGATCATGTCTATTTTTGTTACCTTTCTATTGAAATGTATTGTGGTAAATTATTTTCTCCCTCCCTCCCTCCCTCCCCGCAGGTGTGGGTGAGAAGGGTCTGTTTGAGGACATCCAGGATGAAGAGGTGGAGGTTCTCCAGCAGATGTTTTTTGGGGTGCTGCTCTGTGCTTTGGCCACCCTGGCTGCTAAAGGAGACATGGTCTTCACCTCCATCTTCATGGGTGGAGTGGCGGCCATAGCTGGATACTGGCTCTCAGACAGGGGAGACCGCGTACTGGACAGCTTTCTGAAGGGACGCTAGAACTACACTGCTATCAAGGACTTATTACCATACCCGGTTGATGGGTATATGTATATAGGAAATGTATAATTGACATTAAGACCAATCAGACACTAGCCTGTGTGCCAGACTGTTTATGCTCTCTTGCCAACTCCTTATGAAATTGTCTAAACATGGCAATTTCATAAGGAGTTGGCAAGAGAGTAGAAACAGACTGGCACCCAGGCTAAACAGACTATTACATATTATTTGTAAATAAATAAAGATCCCTGTGACAAACTGTTATTTGAAAAGCTTTAATAATAAACACTGCTGTGTGCAACTTGCCTTCAACACTATCATGCACTCAATTTCAACAGAAAGATTATAGAAAGGACGCTCGATCGCATTAAAAAAAAAAAAAGGTAAAATAAAATGTGTCTGTGCGTGTATGCGTTAGTTCGTGAATGTGTGCAAATGTATGTGTGTATGTATGTATATCCACTGAGTGTACAAAACAAAATAAAACATGCTCTTTCCATGACATAGACTGATCAGGTGAATTCAGGTGAAAGCTATGATCCCTTATTGATGTCACTTGTTAAATCCACTTCAAGCATTGTAGATGAAGGGGAGGAGACAGGTTAAAGAATGATTTTTAAGCCTTGAGACAATTGAGACATAAATTGTGTATGTGTGCCATTCAGAGGATGAATGGGCAAGACAAAATATTTAAGTGCCTTTGAACGTGGGTATGAGGTGCCAGGCGCAACGGTTTGGTGTCAAGAACTGCAACGCTGCTGGGTTTTTCACCCTCAACAGTTTCCCGTATGTATCAAGAATGGTCCACCACCCAAAGGACATCTATCCAACTTGACACAACTGTGGGAAGCATTGGAGTCAGCATTCCTGTGGAAAACTTTCGACACCTTGTAGGGTCCATGCCCTGATGAATTGAGACTGTTCTGAGGGGGGGGGGGGGGGGGGGGGGGGGGGGTGGCAGGTATTCATAATGTTTGGTGTACTCAGTGTACAGTATGCCATAGTGTGAAATATTCCTTTCTTCTGATCTCACATGTGACAAATAACATTTTATTTTTATTTTATACTATAGGTATACTATATTTTAGTATTACATTATAGTGTATTATATTGTTTTATAAGTGTATAATTTTTTTATCCACCTACTTACCCTGAACAGTGACTGAGACTGTATTTAGTATTTAGTCAACCACCAATTGTGCAAGTTCTCCCACTTAAAAAGATGAACGAGGCCTGTACACGTCAACTATGACAGACAAATTGAGAAAAAAAAATCCAGAAAATCACATTGTAGGATCTTTAATGAATTTATTTGCAAATTATGGTGGAAAATAAGTATTTGGTCACCTACAAACAAGCAAGATTTCTGGCTCTCACAGACCTGTAACTTCTTCTTTAAGAGGCTCCTCTGTCCTCCACTCGTTACCTGTATTAATAGCACCTGTTTGAACTTGTTATCAGTATAAAAGACACCTGTCCACAACCTCAAACAGTCACACTCCAAACTCCACTATGGCCAAGACCAAAGAGCTGTCAAAGGACACCAGAAACAAAATTGTAGACCTGCACCAGGCTGGGAAGACTGAATCTGCAATAGGTAAGCAGCTTGGTTTGAAGAAATCAACTGTGGGAGCAATTATTAGGAAATGGAAGACATACAAGACCACTGATAATCTCCCTCGATCTGGGGCTCCACGCAGGATCTCACCCCGTGGGGTCAAAATGATCACAAGAACGGTGAGCAAAAATCCCAGAACCACACGGGGGGACCTAGTGAATGACCTGCAGAGAGCTGGGACCAAAGTAACAAAGCCTACCATCAGTAACACACTACGCCGCCAGGGACTCAAATCCTGCAGTGCCAGACGTGTCCCCCTGCTTAAGCCAGTACATGTCCAGGCACGTCTGAAGTTTGCTAGAGTGCATTTGGATGATCCAGAAGAGGATTGGGAGAATGTCATATGGTCAGATGAAACCAAAATATAACTTTTTGTTAAAAACTCAACTCGTCGTGTTTGGAGGACAAATAATGCTGAGTTGCATCCAAAGAACACCATACCTACTGTGAAGCATGGGGGTGGAAACATCATGCTTTCTGCAAAGGGACCAGGACGACTGATCCTTGTAAAGGAAAGAATGAATGGGGCCATGTATCGTGAGATTTTGAGTGAAAACCTCCTTCCATCAGCAAGGGCATTGAAGATGAAACGTGGCTGGGTCTTTCAGCATGACAATGATGCCAAACACACCGCCCGGGCAACTAAGGAGTGGCTTCGTAAGAAGCATTTCAAGGACCTGGAGTGGCCTAGCCAGTCTCCAGATCTCAACCCCATAGAAAATCTTTGGAGGGAGTTGAAAGTCCGTGTTGCCCAGCGACTGCCTCAAAACATCACTGCTCTAGAGGAGATCTGCATGGAGGAATGGGCCAAAATACCAGCAACAGTGTGTGAAAACCTTGTGAATACTTACAGAAAACGTTTGACCTGTGTCATTGCCAACAAAGGGTATATAACAAAATATTGAGAAACTTTTGTTATTGACCAAATACTTATTTTCCACCATAATTTGCAAATAAATTAATTAAAAATCCTACAATATGATTTTCTGGAAGAAAAAAAAATCTCATTTTGTCTGTCATAGTTGACGTGTACCTATGATGAAAATTACAGGCCTCTCTCATCTTTTTAAATGGGAGAACTTGCACAATTGGTGGCTGACTAAATACTTTTTTCCCCCACTGTATATATTACTTAATTTCTTAATGTAATAGCTTATGACAACGAACAGTATGATAACATATCCCAAGATTAACATGGTAATGATGGCACAACAGTACATTGTTTACAACCATTCAAAAATCTTCTTACCCTGAATTGTGACTGTGGAAGGCTTACTGTATATGAATATAAACTGCTCACCAGTAAGTAGCATTGTACTGACATTGTATTTTGACCTCAGCTGGTTAACTTTGACCTGTTCATGTCACCAGTAGAGTTCCTGTGAGTGTCTGCTGACAGGTTAAGGTAAGGGTATATTCCTCTCTGCCTTTTAAGTAAAAATAACTCTGAGCTTCAGAGATGGATGGAGGAGTCTGACAGCTCAGCTGAACGGTGTCTCTCTCTCTGATGACTGTAGAACTCAATGTCAGACTGGCTGAGGAACGTCTGTGAGATGAAGAGGGTGGATGAAGAGTGAGGTCAGAGGGATGGAGTGTGACACTTTGGGCTGGTTTCCCAGACACATTAAGCTTAGTCCTGGATTTAATTACACTTTCAAGGAAGAGTATATTTAAACCATGGATTATACTTAAGGTAGCCGGCCTACAATGTAATACATTTAAACATTTGAATAAACAATACTCAATTATACACAACTATCTGTCTTCTGATCTTCTCTTCTACTTAACTTTGATTGAATGACGATACTGACCTTGTGCTTTGATGAATTGGAAGGTGTCTAGAAATAACAAAACAGGGTCACTATGCAAATTAGCCATTGTTGAGGAAAGTGCATCAGTCAAAGTGTAATAATAACACCATGTTAGTAACTACCAACTGGCCAAGACCTGGTTGAATCAACGTTGTTTCCAAATCAAATCAACCAAAACATTCAATGTGATGATGTTGAATCAATGTGGAAAACTGATTGGTTTGAAAATAGTAATCAATGTAAGGGAATTTCAAAATGTTTACACTCAACTTTTTACCTAAATCCAATTAAATCTGTGAAATGTTTTGTTGATTTCACATAGAATTCACATTAGTTGACGATTCAACCAAATGTAAATCAAAACTAGACGTTGAACTGACGTCTGTGCCCAGTTGTTTGTGACAGAATTACATCAGATCAGACATATTTCTATTTATCTCACACCTAGTATGAGCAATGGCAATATCTTCCTAATATTGAGTTGCACCCCTCCGTTTTGAACTCAGAACAACCTAAATTCCATTGGGCCATGGACTCTACAAGGTGTCGAAAGCGTTCCACAGGGATGCTGGCCAATGTTGACTCCAATGCTTCCCACAGTTTTGTCAAGTTGGCTGGATGTCCTTTATGTGGTGGACCATTCTTTATACACACGGGAATCTGTTGACCGTGAAAAATCCAGCAGCGTTGCAGTTCTTGACACTAAACGGTGCGGCTGGCACCAACTTCCATAACCCATTCAAAGGCACTTCAATCTTTTGTCTTTCCCAATTACCCTCTGAATGGCAGACATGCACAATTCATGTCTCAATTGTCTCAAGGTTTAAAAATCTTTATTTAACCTGTCTCCATCCCTTCATCTACATTGAATGAAGTGGATTTAACATGTGACATCAATAAGGGGTCATAGCTTTCACCTGGATTCACCTGGTCAGTCTATGTCATGGAAAGTTCTTCATGTTTTGTTTACTCAGTGTACAATATTTACATGAGCAGTGGAGGCACCTCAGAGGAGGAAGGCGAGGACCATCCTCAGTGAATTTCATAAAAATAAAAATAGTGAAACCTTAAAAAAGTTGTACTTTTTAGATAACACTACACTAAATATATTCACGTCACCAAATAATTCATTAAAACACACTTTTTGCAAAGGTCTACAGTAGCCTCAACAGCACTCTGTAGTGTATTACCATGATGTAGCCGGAGGACAGATAGTTTCTGTCCTCCTATGGGTACATTGACTTCAATACAAAACCTAGGAGGCTCTTGGTTCTCACCCGCTTCCATAGACTTACACAGTAATTATGACAACTTCCAGAGGACATCCTCCAAACTATCAGAGCTCTTGCAGCATGAACTGACATGTTGTCCACCCAATTAAAGGATCAGAGAATTAATCTAGTACTGAAAGCATCAGCTACAGCAAGCTAGCACTGCAGTGCATAAAATGTGGTGAGTAGTTGACTCAAAGAGATAGAAAGACATTAGTTGTGACTCGCATATGAAACTAGGCATATGTCGGAAGTCACGACTTCACAGGAGAGGCATTTGAATGTTTATTTATTATGAAA